TCAGAACTCCCTCCCGACGCTATTGTTTCCAAAAAATACCTTTGTCTTGCAGTACCGCAAGATTTGTTCTAGCAATGGATGGACATGGTGCTGATGGTATCAATGATGTAGTGGTGCACTTTAAAAAGTGTTTCTTAAAAAAGAAACAGATATCATTCTTTGGTGTATGACGCAGAGGGTGTATATCCAGACCCCAAGAAGGTCAGTGACAATCAAGCAATACCAACACCGTCTAACAAAAAGGAACTACAGGAATTCCTAGGGCTGATACAAGTACCTATCACCTTTAATTCAGTACCTATCAGAAAAAGCACCAACCCTAGGAAAGATGCTGAAGAAAGGCCATTTCTGTGGGACGAATCATATCAACACAGTTTTGATACGTTGAAATCACTACGTAGTGCTGATGCAACAGTTCCTTACTATGGTGCAACCTCACCAGTCATGCTACAGGTTGACGCCAACCTGAAGGGTTTAGGAACTGCACTCCTACAACCAATACATACATCTATGGTAAGAAGATTGACATCATCACAGATCACAACCCACTGATAATGATTCTTAACAAGAACATCACCTCAGCTTCACCAAGACTTCAACGAAAGATGCTCAAACTCCGAGGATATTGCTTCACTATCGAGTACATACATGGAAAGCAACTTACCTTACCTGATTCTCTGAGTCGTCTTCCTTATCCTGACAACAAGGAAGGAATTGATCTTGACCTGACAGTTCACCATGTACAATTCTCAACACAAAAGCTTTCAGATGTGCAAAACTTGACCAGAGCAGATCCAGTATTGAATCAACTTACAGAGTTGATTATTCAGGTTTGTATCAACAAATCTTCGCGAATATTGATTGGAGCTTCTGCGATGAACTTTCTGTTGAAAATCATCCCAAGCCCTTTGTAGAAAGAAAGCCCTATAATAGTTACACATCGGTCATCTGGGACGAGACAAAACTCTTCTTAAGCAAGACAGTCACTGTATTGGCACAAAATCAACAATGACATTGGCAAGATGTGCAAACAGTGTAGTGTTTGTCAACTTATTCAAAATTCAGTACTTTGTATGGCCACCACTGGCAGCAGTTACTGTTGGATACCGTTTCGGCACAGACTGGATACGTCGACGAAGTCGCCCTTGCGGAAATCTTGCTGACTCTTCCTGCAGGAATGTCTGAGGCGTGTTTTGACATTGACCTACACGTCTGTCGAGTTCATCCCGTAGGTGTTCTATCGGGTTTAGATCTAGTAATCGGGAAGGCAATGTCAAAGCATTGACGTTAGAATTGGCAAGGTAGCGGACCCTGACGTGTGCTGTATATGAAGTAGCGTTGTCATGCTGGAACAACTCCCTCTGTCGGTCCATTATTGGAAGTATGTGACGTGCAAGGACTTCGCTGTTAATTCCCCTGAACCACCACTTAATCAGATCTGATGGATATCGTACCCTACACCATGACACTGTCTCCACCGAATCTGTCGACCTGTCGAATGCAATCAGGGGCTAAATGTTCATTTCTCCGACGGCAAACACACTGTCTATCTCGCCGTGAAGAAGAAACTGTGATTCATCACTGAACCAGACTCGCCTCCAGTTTCTAAGATTCCAATTCCGAACTCTACGACACCACCGCAAGTGATTGCGCCAATGGAAGTCTCTCAAAAAGGGGCGACAACTGGCCTTCTTGGTCGAATCCCCACTTCTCGCAATCGATTCCTAAAAGTATGGTCGGAAATTCTTCTCAAACCAGGGATGCGTTGTGCAGTCTCCACGGCTCTGGCGAGACGATGACGCAAGTGAGCAACCTGGAGCGGTCCTTGGCTTGGGTGGTAACACTTCGACGGCCGCTTAGCGGGCGATCTTGGTCTGCAGGAAACGATCCTAAAGGCGAGATACGATGTTCTGATGAACGTTGAAATGTCAGGCAACGGTAGACTGCAACTCCTCAGCTTCAAGGCGGCCTGTGGCGATGTTTCGATTGGCGGCACTCAGTCGTGGCATGATGATTTCCTCGTTTCCAGGCAAAAACGAATGACAAAATTAAACACAACGAAACCGTTAAAATTGCCGCGTTTTGGCACTAAAGCTGTCAACAAACACAAAAACATGGCATTTAGGAAAAAAATAGTATATATGTATTATTTTTGTCGCAGCTACATGAGTCGAATATTCTCAAAATCATCTGTGCGTTTCTTTTTTTGAAGAGTATATGTGTTTAATTTCGCGGCCGGAATTGTTTTCTTGCTGTTGAGCAATTTGCCCCTCTCACAAATGCGTGTTATACTTCCTATTGCTGTTAATCAACGCGCACAGTGAGTCATATATAGTCTCATTTTGAACTAAGCAAACATTCTAGAGTCGGTGAATAAACATTATTCCTTCACGAGCTGGATAAACATGTTATTAACATGTTATTGAAATGATGTTTCAAACTCAATGAAATTTAATTCATGTTTAATACAATATATTAATAATGTACTGTATTAAATGTAATATTCTTTCGAATTGTTAAAAATTAAGCATGTTAGCTTACAGTATAACTATGTGGAAAACCTTTTAATCTTCATATCAGTAAGATAATCATCATACCTCATGACATATGTATAACACTGTAGTGAGTCCTGCGTTGAAATAACAAAGGATCATTAGCCATCACACGTTATGCTTGCCGACAAAGATAATTTAATCTTAGCTCAGTATGGGTATACTTGTACATGTAATTAGTGAGTTGACACATGTCACATGTCATATGTTTAATAGGGGCCGCTTGCTATCCCACATTGAGAACTTAGAAAGAGTTGCCGAGAAAATCGTTCTCGAATCGTCAATTGAGAAGAAAAAAACCCAAAATGGCTGATTTTTTTCAAATGTGTTGATGTTTATGTTATTAATGTTATTAATTATCATGTTTATGTTATTAAGTGAATTTAAGTGTATATGAGCTCAGTCCTAGTCGCAGGTTACCGTGTGAACTCTACAACCCGGCACGCTGTCTAAACCGGATCATTTCTTCAGTCCCGACGAGCGTCGGTTTAAACAGCTTCCACTGTATGTGCAGAATGCACATGTCTTTCGTGACATCCACGTGCAGTTGCAATGTTCATATGACGAGAAACATCAACGTTTTGTCATATGTGTGTACCGACATCGACATATATCCTGTACTGCACGACGTTCGACAGGTTGACAGATTCATCGACTAGTGGCTTTACAGGTTTTGGTAAAGTCCCGTGGACATCCGGGTTAGTACTGGTCTTCAGCAACTCATGCAACTCACAGAATTTGAATCCAACCAGACGAAACAAGGATGCTGAAAGACAGCACTCTTTATGTAACCACTGTAACAGCGGACAAGTTCAGGATGAATTCCATATTTTACTAAAATGTCCAGAATTTAATGATTTGAGAATAAAGCATTTAAGATTTCTCGATGGCAAATATGTTTGTAAATCCCAAATGATAAATTTGTTGCATTCACAAAATAGATGTACCGTTAAAGCAATAGCCACTTTTCTTAAATGTGTATTCTCCAAGAATGTTTGAAAAGTGTTTAAATATAATGTTTCTATTTTCTTACGACGTGACAACAAATAATGTTGTAACAACAATTGTAACATGGGCCAGTTGGCCAATATTACTGAATAAAATATGTCTGTCTGTCTGTCTGTCTGTCTGCAACTCACAAGAGGTGACTAATGGGTCAGGCTAGCTGACTTGGTTGACACGTGTCATCGTATCATAATTGCGTAGATCGATGCTCATGGCGTTCATCAGTGGTTTGTCTGGTCCAGACTCGATTATTTACACGGGTCGTCTCAATGAGAGACTGCACGTGCATGACACAAGAAAAAAAATGTTCACATAAGTTTATCATACTATTTAGTAAAATGTGTATTGACCAAAACTCCGGTGTTCAACATTGATATTGTATTTCATTGGACATTGTTACGTGTTACAGTTTTTGTTCCTGTGGTGAAGTTCAATGTATTAATCTCTTGCATCATGACAGAACTATGTTACCTGTGCAGCAGATGCAAATAGCGAACGTATTTTGTGCTGGTCTCGAGCAATGCCTCAGCGCGTAGTCCTTCAAGGCCGACGCCGTGTTAGTTAGAAGCTCCAGTGGATGTCCTAATATTCCTTTCTGTGTCCACAGAACAGCTCATATTGCCAGGTGTCATCACAAGCCCTGGCGTCTTGCTAAGGAGACATTTACAGCTGATGCTTTTCTTTCGAAAAGCCATTGCGGAAAATAAGTTCTTACATTTCCAAGTCAAGCAGGCAACGAAATTCAAAATTCCTGCGAATATACACAGAATGTGATTTACATGCGTCGATCAATCAGAGCGCTTGCTTCGATCGCACCCCAGTTTTGTGCGGACCTATCGTCATCCGTTTGCGACTAGATCGTTTAGCTGAGGGCCAAAATCGGATGTCAATCGACTCGTAGAAATAACAATAAAGAATTGGTGGGTGTCATGAGGTTATGTTTACATTAACTTTTAATCGACTGCATGCACAGTAGGGGGGTTCAGGGGGGTCGACACCTCTTCTCTCGCAAAAAACACAAGGGTCTGTGGATGTCATCTGTAGGGAACAACAATCAGGATTCCCAGCGTGATGTGTAAAACATCAAATAGATGGGATAAACTGCATAACTCTCCGCATACCTCTTGCTCCTGGCGATCACTTGGAATTGTAGCTGAACTACTCCGGACGGTTTTCGTTATTTATTATGACCATATTTAACATCTCATTGTGTCCACTAACGCGCATAGTAACATGAAAGCAAACTAGATTTTCTTTATTTCTTTTGAGTAATATATAATCTGGAATTGTTTATCTGGAACGTTGCTTGTCGTTAGAGGCGACCACATGTATCATGACGTACCCAACCGTAGAAAACACTTACTAACACTCTTGGACCACGACGAGGCAATGACTTAAATTACAAAACAATATATTCTGGAACTTGGCGCACATGGATATTCTCTATTCCTGTTGGTGCTTGATCATGTAATCCAGGAAGCGTGTCACGCAACGATTGAGACTGTTCTTGTTGTTCACGAGCTGAAGGAAGAAGCAACCTTGACCCTACTTAGGTGCCTTGTATTCTCAATGTCTTGCACAGTACAATGTATCCTAGAGTAGTTTGTATGTACATATTGCAGTATATTGTACAAAATACCTAGATCCACCCTTGAATTGTAACCCTCAGCTTGGTCATTTGAGATATGTTCTCCCGCACACGAACGTAATTTGATTGGTCAGCTACTTCAGACCCAAAACAAAGTTTGTCAGTGATTGGCTCATACACTTGAAACTGGAGGAGGGAGTCTTTCATGTTTTAACAAACCATAAGATTTCAGAAACACCCGTAAGCCGAATAATGCAACCTCTGTACTTTAGCATCTCCAGGGTCGTGCCTTCATAGTTCGATGTGTCTGCAGCTGGTGGTGGTGATGATGGTGATGATGAGTTATAACGATGACAGTTGTCAGGTCGGGGGAAATGTGCTTGATATCTGCCGACTTCCGGTCAACCAGTAACTTTTTTCTTTCACCTGAGGAATATATCAAAACAGAATAAAATAATAGTAATATTGTAGTATAAGAGGATCTTCTTCTTCCTGTAATTTCAATGAATGCATTCAGGGACATCACGATCATATATATCAACACTCAGGGTTATTCCAGTTAATCAGCCTGGTCCAGACAATCCAGTGATTTATATCATGAGCAACGATCCACATTGGAAGGTGCGATACCACACAATCAACCGAGACTCTGAGCTTAACCTCCCGTTTCCAGATGCAGCATTATTCCAGTTCATCGGCATGGACCAGACAACCCAGTGATTGATATCATGAATAATGATCCACATTGCGATACCGCACAATCAACCTAGACACTCAGTTTAACCACCCGATCTAGCCCGTACAATAGTCAACATAACGACCAGGTTAGGTTGCTGGGGACCATAGCCATCATGAGGTATATGGCCAGTAACCTGCGGCGAGTTGCCTAATTGTCAATCAGTAGCAGCCAATATACCCACACTAGTCATCAGGCTACACTTTTAATGTCCTTACGAACAGACCCGTGAAGATCCGGGGCAGAATGGGTCTTCAGCAACCCATGCTTGTCGTAAGAGGCGACTAACGGGATCGGGTGGTCAGGCTCGCTGACTTGGTTGACACATGTCATCGGTTCCCATTTGCGCAGACCGATGTTCATGATGTTGATCACTGGATTGTCTGATCCAGACTCGATTATTTACAGACCGCCGCCATATAGCTGGAATATTGCTGAGTACGGCGTACAATTAAACTCACTCAATCCCCTTACGAAGATTTGACAAAATACCCATGAGTTAGACAATTACACGGCCACGAGATATGATGTTAACCCCTCCCGTCTAAGTCTATACAGGCGAAGACCAACTTACCTGTCCATCTAGCGGCTTTGCGGGTATTACTGTAAACTCTTTGCTTGTCTGTATGGCGGAACATGTTGCCTCCGAGATCTGTATAGTCATTGGTGGGGTTGTATTGGCCAAAGTGTGGGCCCAATCCATGGTGTTTCCAAATACGGTATACTTCATGAGAAACTTGGGGTCAAGGACACCGGCCATTCCTGGTCCAGTAGCGACACCTACTTTCATCTGAAGATGACAGTCGTTATGTTTGATTGTACATGATTTTGCAATAACTAGAAAAGAGAGAGCAATTCGGGACAGCACAGTCGCGTGGCCATTTCGCCTCGTCGGTAACCCGGACACCACGTAATAGGAAGTTGCAGAGATGTCGAATTTATGGACCGTTTCCTCAGACAAAACGTTATCAAGAGCTTTTTGCAGATCCTTCAACATAGTTGCAATATCAGATGCGGTCGAGGCGGCTACAATGTCTGCTAAGCCGTGGATAACAGACACCAACACTGATGCCGAGTCAAACTTCTCCAGAGAAGGAGTAGCTCCAGCTGAAAACGACATGGCGATTTCTGAAGGTAAAGCTGTGTAATTATCAACATCGGCGGATTTTGTGTTGGTGATATCCCAAACCTTCGTTCCTTGAAGCTTTTCTTCAAGTTCATACGTATAATCTTCAAAAGCCTTCATCATGCAGTCCATTAACGTTTTGTTTTTAGGATGGGCGTTTTTGATCATGGTGCATATCCCAGCGAAAGACGGTCGACCAATGGGGTCCATCTCCCACGCTCGTTCCATGATTTCCCGGGAGGCAACAGGAGTGTCAGGGGTAAACGCTGGACGCATGGACGTTGAGATCACAGCTTGAAGCACATCGTTGGGCGACTGTGTGTCTTTGTGCTCCATGTACGGTCCATCTCGTGTAAATATTTCCTGCATGATGATGGAGAAGCTGTACACGTCGCTGCCCTCAGTTGGGTGGACGTCCAATCGTAAGATTTCTGGGGCAGTCCAGAATTCTGTCATGTCCCAGTCATTTGCACCGAAGACATCTCTGTGAACTGCCTGTTCTTTCATGCGATTGGCTAGTTTGACAAATGACCATTTCCCAACTTTAACTGTCCAATGCTCATCTAAGAAACAACATTTAGAGGTAAGAAGGCCATGACAGATTCCCTGCCTGTGTAAGTATTGCATGCCTTTCGCAATGTCCAAACAAAGAGCATACTTCATACTATTGTTCATGTTAAATCTAGTATTTTGCAGAAATTCGTAGACAGAACCTTTCGAGCAATACCCCTCTGCTGTGGAGACACAGCCATCAAGATCTGTTAATCCATACAATGCAACAACGTTCTTGTGAAGGATGAAGTCTCTCATCCACAGAATATCACGCTTGGTGGAAACAGACAGGTGTGTTGTGGTCTTCAAGAAAGGCATTGGCTGCATTTGGAGAAGTTTTCCTTTCCACTGGCCAACCTTCAGCGTACTGATTGGCCCAATACTTTCAGTTGATACTTCACTGAATGCCCCGAGGGATGGGTGAATTTTGTTACTGTTTGTCCTGAAAGTGGAACCCATCCGGGACTTACTTTTATTGGAGGTCCCCGAGGTTATCGTACTTCCTCGAATCAGCCACTCGTTTCTTACCAATGCTTGCTGAAGACGGATCTGATGTCGAACAAGATAGATAAGGATGATGATGATTGCTATGAACAGAAGGGGAGATCCAACGAAGACAGGAATTCGCCACGTCTGCAGGGACAGCTCTTCCTCCTCAACTACGGCCACGAGCATGCTGTAGACATTCTGACCTTTACAAGTGATTTGCTTGATGATTCTGTCCATTACCATTGTGTAGACCTCCCGCGACAGGGGCACCATGAATAGATTCTCGCAGTCCTGTCTGGGAATAGTTGTAGTGTAAAACCATTCAATATACCGAACTAGCTCAATAGCTGATTCACAGCTGGTGATGGAGGTTTTCTTTATAATGATGTAGGTGTAGCCTGAGATGGGATACGAATTCATCCCCTTTGCATTAGCCAATGACAAAGTCATACGCTCATCGAAGGCGCTAGAAAAATCATTCATGGCACTTTGCACTGATGTAGTAGACGCTTCGACCATGTTCCCTGCCTGATTCTGCAGCCTTGCAAATGAGACTTTTGACGAGACTGCATCCGACAATACGAGATATCCGATGGAGAATTTATAAGACAGAATAATTCCAGACACCCCGCGATTGGTTTGCCCAAACTGGGTCACAACTGATGCGTTCCATTGGTAGGGCATATCGTTGTCATCAACACCCTTGGAAAAGACTCCATAAGAATCTGCCCATTGTTGGCTGACCGAGGCAAGGGCCTTTGTGAAGATTTCAGTTGTACCCGACTTGTCTCTCCGCGCAACCACAATAATCTCCTTGGAAGGTAAGTCTAAGTTAGGGTTTACTTGGGCGATCCTTGAGTCATTCCACCAGCGAATTGCCCCACTGTAGATGTCAACCACGTTATCCATTTTAAGGTTTAGTTCTGATATTCCCGGTAGGTAGAAACCCATCACTATCGCCCTAAAAATAAATGTGGCAGATCAGTTACATTATACATCTGTTTACCTCCATGCGTTCACACTATAAACGTTTGTTTACACGAGTTGGGAAGATGTAAATGCAAATCAAACGCCCGACTTTGATTCTTGGACACTGGCTACAGCCATTATATGGCTTTCGGTGTGTAATCAAAACCAATTTCCGTTAGCAAGAAGGGGCGGTGGGGTAGCCTAGTGATAAAAGCGTCCACTCGTCACGCCGAATACCTGGGTTCGATTCCCCACATGGGTACAATGTGTGAAGCCCATATCTTGTGTCCCCCGCCTTAATATTGCTGGAATATTGCTGGAATATTGCTGAAATGTTGCTAAAAGACCCATCGTTCCAGGATATTCAGTTTCATTTCCTGCATTGTACTTGGTCTACTTCTATAAAATCAGCAAGTTTCTCTTACCCAGCCATCGATGGAAACATCTGAAGGTCGGGATTGTTCGCGTAATCTTCTTCCGATAGCAGAGAATCAGACCCAGCGTAGTGAACTTCCGGTCCAGTCTCCCCCTTGATCCGGGCTTTTCCTCCTCCACTGCCGATACTCTCGTACTTCATCTCCACCCCGGCGAACCTGCTTCTGTAAGACTTGTATGCCGGCAGCCATGATCTGTAGACGTCGGCAGGAAAGGAGGCCCCGGCACCGTTCAGGTGGACGGCAGCGTAGGCGGGGTTGAGAAGGCTGGCAATAAGTAAGGATCTCAAGGCTGCCATTCTGATGTCATCGGACAAATCTGCAATATATTACCAAAGCACAAGGGTATGTGTAGTGTAACAACTCAGGAAAACGTGTGAATGTTGTCACGTATGTTCAATTCAACATAAACCTAAAAGTCTAATCCTACAGTTTTCAATGAAATACGACATATTGGTGGACACACATTTTCTTCGCAAGATCCCGTCAAACCTCACATTGTATTCATATGATGCTACGAATGCTGTGGTAACTACCACCTCATTGGACAAGTGGATAGCGTGTTTGTCTTGGAATTAAAGCCGGTTATTCAGTCTCCTTGCCGAGCATGCCAAATAATACACAAAATATTGTACTTTCAGTTACTGTGCAAGATGTGAGTCACTGTGTCTGAGGGATGCATGTTAAAATGAAAGATTGGTATTTCAGTGGGCTTTTCAAAACCGGCAAACGTTCGAACTAGTATAAGCTAACACGCATGCACGTACGCATGCGTATCAGGGGGGATATAGATAGGCGCATCGTTATGTAAATGATTCCGAATTCTACGCTAAACATCCTTTAACCTTGTGTATTACTGTTGGTATTCACGATAATGTTGCTCTTTCAGCAGGTCCTACCCAGTACTGAGACAGTTACGTAACTACCACTGCACTGCGTAGAACGGGTAGAATTAAAATAAGTCGACGTGACTTTCACTTTGATGAAGCATTAATAGTTGTCTGTGGAAAACACCGTTTAAAGACGACTTTCTTCGTGAAGTCTTAATAATTCGCATCATCAGTGACATCAGAATCAGAGTTACAGTCTTCTTCTAGCATCTGCATGAGATTAGGATCCCGGTACGTATCGGCCTGGGGTTTCTGGAACTATTCTGTCCTGTCTGCACTGGAACGTCTTCCTTGATGTCACTGCCCCCGTCATACGTCCCATTTGTTATCAACGCCTAATGCGATGCTGCAGCCTTGAATGTTGTCTATGAAGATGGGGCAGAAGCCATCACGTGGGAGCTTGTGTTGTCAGAATCGTTGCTCGTTATACGTCATTAGAAGTATCACTTTGAAGGTTTTGCTTGTAGGAGCAGTTGCTTCACACGTTGATGGTGAGAGTTATTATCCATTTCTGTGCTATGTGGTGAATTTCTTATAGGTCACCTTGGTCGTTAGTTTCTTCTGTTTGTCAATGTTATTAGACTGTCAATGTTATTAGACTGAAATCGTTCTAATTCACTAGTATGAGGACTCAGTCAACAGTTCACTTAGATTCCGAAAAGGTATAAAAGGGCAACTTATCATACATTGCCAAGGGCTCATATAACTGTGCATGAATACTTAAATTGAGTGAAAAGGTCACATTTATGTAAGCGCGATATCTCATAAAACTTTGCACTCGATGTTTTCAATTATGTCGACAGCCTGCATTGGGTGATTACGCAGACACCATTACTTCCAGGGTGGTCTTGATCTTATTTTCAAGGTCACGTGACACTTTTCACAAATCTTGACACAAATCTTGTTTACGGGATAACTACGTTTACACCTCACGATTGGTTGTCTTCTATGAAACCAAAAGATAAAAAAACTAGCAAACATGTTCTATTCCATTCTTGTTTAGCGGCGTTAATGGCAAACACTTGTATATATTTTGGTCTACAGGGACCAGACAACGTATGGAGAAACCTCTATCTATACCTGAACATACGAAGAAATATGGTATAGCCGGCTGAAAGATGTGTCTCAAAACCTGGTCAATAAACCCATGTGTTGGGACGGACTCCCAGGTTCGCCGATGAAGGCCACATCCATGTACATGCCAGACATGTCGGACCCGCTGACTGTGGACTTCCCACGTAATACTGTGGGACGTATGTGTACCCTCCAGTCCCCGTCGCCAACGTTCGTCAATACCACGTCACCCTTAACACAACACTCCTCATTGTAACTGTACCTACACACTTCATCGAACGTTCAACCAGTGCAATGCATAAAGTTCGATCCTGGCTACAATTATATACATGTGCAAGGACAGTTACGTATGTGTGCATTACCAGGTTCTATTGATATAGGAGGGGAGAGCTGCTGTTACTGTGTCACGACGCCATTGTGTAGAAATTTGATGTGTCGAACTCGCGGTTGTATCGAAAGGAACGCTTGCTTCCTGTGTATTCCTTCTCAATTTATTATTATGCGATGGTATCCGACCTTGGATAACTCAAAGTAAACACCTAGGTCATTTCACTTCGACACATTCATGTTTGACTGTACATTGGCTCGGTTACGTCGGACTGACTGATTGAGTTTAGTTATCCAATATAAATTAGCAATATTCCAGCAATATCACGGCGGGGGACACCAGAAATGGGATTCACACAGTGTGCCCATGTGGGGAATCGAACCCGGGTCTTCGGCGTGACGAGTGAACGCTTTAACCACAAGGCTACTCCACCGACCGGCTCGGTTAAGATCAGAGGTTGACAACAATGTGTTTCAACAATATCATGTGTTCAGGAATGTATTACCCTCGAACAAAAGCAGTTGTGTGGAAGTTACTACATTTTTATCCTTTCTAGAGTTAACCTTTCAAAATAGATCTGGACACCCCACCTCCCCTATCCCCCCGTAAAAAATTCCCTGAGGTGCATTTCCCCCTAACCTTTTGACTTCATGATTTATTATGTGCACACCCCTTTCTTCCACCTCTCCAAAACCCTGGATCCGCCCCTGTAACGTTACAAGTGGCTGTGTGGCGATCATGTTTTCACCCTTGTGAACCAGCCTTGGCCTACCTGGAAGTTGGACTACTGTTGTTTCTAGGTAAATATTATTAAGACTGGCGTCTTAGCTATTATCAATGCTAGTGTATTCTATACTTCCATAGATTTGTATTCTTCCACTTCCTAGTAATTAATGGGCAGCAGTTTGTACTCATTGGAACATGAGTTAATTTAAAACTCCAATTGTAAATTGTGTAACATATATTTGTTGGTTAGTGCATACACAATACGTTCTTTACCCTACAAAAGTGGGAGGATGAACTTTTGTTTCAGTTTGGACATGCCCTTCTATCGATAAAAGATAATACGACAGGAAGAAGGCTCTGGTCCTTTTATAGCCTCGTCTCTTAAATCTATACTAACTGAACAAGTAACTGTGCATCAAAGTTATTGAAAAGTTGTATAAATAACACTGAAGAATAGTAGCAAAGCACTTTTGCATGAAATTTGATGTCAGTATCGCGCGTGGCACGTGTACTTTGTGCACAATGAACTAACCCACTTTTGGCATGCTTTTTCACACCTGAAGTTCACAGGTGACCTGATATTGCAAACTGAAAAACGGTTGATTATTCTTTAGCCTCTGAAAACACGTTGTGCAAAAACACGTTAATTTCAACATAAACAGTGCGTTCATCATGCCACGGCTTACAGGGTGTGCTTGAGTCTGGAATGGCCCAAAATGAAGTGGCCAGACATTTATAGTGTCAATCGAAATACGATCTCATCTCTTTGGAGACGTTTTCAACATTGGGAACAGAGGTTTGCCTCGGACCGGCCGACCACGCGTGACGTCACGTCAGCAAGACAACCACATTCGGCTGACCCATCTAAGGAATCGATTCTACTTCAACCTCCACCATCCACAACTCCGACGGCATCGACCTGAAATAATGACAAGCAGCACAGCGCATTCAAGAACGTTATAAACAGATATTGGAAGTAAAACAGATACTGGAAGTAAGCTCTAAACGTGGACACCTTGTTAACGTTTAAAGGTTAATGTTTTACTCAGAATAATTCCCAGTCAGCCATGTGTTGCCATAGCTCCAACTTCTTGATGATGTATGTGAGTCATTTGAACCGACAAAGTCTGAAACCACAGGTCCAATTAGCTGATGTATCGCCGGTCACAATCCGTTAATTACCGAGAAACGGAAGCAATGCGTCTCGAATTCGGACAAATGTTTCCTTGAAACTAATTAACCTGGAAACGCATCACACTGGATCTGCACATGGCCGATTGGTTGGCTAAAGTTATAACACGTTAATCTTAATTAGGGCGGTGGGGTAGCCTAGTGGTTAAAGCGTTCGCTCGTCACGCCGAAGACCCGGGTTCGATTCCCCACATGGGAAAAATGTGTGAAGCCCATTTCTGGTGTTCCCCGCCGTGATATTGCTGGAATATTGCTAAAAGCGGCGTAAAATCAAACTCACTCACTCACTAATCTTAAATATTGCACTTCCAACAAGAGTGAAGGTTGGTGTTCAGGATATGTATCACAAACTCACAGCGTGGCATTCTGTCAAATTGAAATTCTTTCAATGTTTATGCTTGATCGGTGTATTTCCTAATGTCTCTCCTATTCTGCTGTTGCCCTGATTATGTTCATTTATTGCTGATAAATGGAAGCCTTGAAACTACTGACTTACGATTTGTTTAGATATAATCTCAAAATACTTGTTTATAGGAAAATGAGATATACAGTATATATAGTATCTAGTAATAGTAATGAAAATACAATGGCATTTAGACAGTTGTCAAATGTAACATGTTATATTTGGGTACACTTTCTTAGTAAAGTACAGATTTTAGTAATGTTGGGGGGTTGAGTGCCATCCGGGATTCGAACCCATACTCCCAGAGTCATGCACCTAATCACCATTAACAGTAATATGTGACGGAATGCCATTATTAAGTCACGATTACTGTTGAAGTAAATGTTCAATTGGATCTTGGAATCTTTCAGGATTTGCTTGTGTATGTGTGCGTGCGTACCTGTGTGCCTGTGTGCGTGCATACGAGTACAAGCAGTTGGCAAACAAAACAAAAACATGTCCTACCAAAAGGCCCCCAATCCAATCGTTTTTCCAGTTTCCAAACGAATCGCCTTCTGGCAACAGCCCGTCATGAGACTTTACTACCAAGGACCAAGGGCAGATTACTCCAACTGTATTACAAAACCCTTCTGAAGGCTCTCTCCCGGCGGAGGAGTGAGCAAAGCATCTTAACTGCTGTTTGGGAGG